TCAATTATTTCAAAAACTAATATCTATTGTATGTTGACCTACAAGTAACTACTGCTCAATTCAGTGAGGAAAGTGATGAAGAAGTTGATGACACTGAAGAAGAACAAAAAGAAGATGCTGAAAATACTGAAGACGAAGAACAAGAAGATGCTGAAGAAGAAGAACAAAAAGTACAAGAACAAACTTTCAGATCAAACATGGTGGCAATAGTGAAGCTATTACAGCACATCAAACTCAGAAATGAGCATATTAATGGCTTGAAGAAAACCCCATTTTGGGCATTGTTTGATGCAATATTGAAAAACAAGATGAATTGTAAACAATGCAGCAAATATGATGATATTTCATTGAAAATAATTCAAACATACCAGCCAGGCAGCAATGGCTCTTTCCAGTTAGGACCAGAAACTGTAAAGCTAACAACAGAAGACATCAAGTCCATCTTCGGTATATCTTGTGGAGATGAGCCGATACATCTTGGTTATGGAAATAAAAGCAGATCATCATTTTTGACAAGAAGATACATACAAACTGAAACCCTATCGAGCACAACCATCACCAACTTGTTGCAAAAAGCATTGAAAGGCAAGAAGAAAGAAGACAATGAAGATATGATAAGGATGCTGTGTATGTATACTTGTTTGAAGCTTTTTTTCTCTACATCAGGAACAACAGTTGGATGGGTATTTCTTAATTACATGGAAGACATAAACTCAATGAGAAAATACAATTGGGCAGAAGCAATAAGGAACACACTGATGTCTTCAATTGAAAAATATCACAAAAATCTAGCAAAAGTCACAGGATGTGTTATGGCTCTCTTAGTAAGTACATCTTTACTCTATTCTATTAGTTTGTTGTTAATAACAGATAGTATTACCTTTTATTCAAATGACAAAAATTCTTTACATTTGCTTTGTAGTATTGGTTGTGTGAGCACACACTGATCATCCACCCTGAAGTTAGCAAAGCATGCCCAAGGGTGATCAAGTGGAATCTTATCAAATTACATAAGCGTATGAAAGTCATATCACTACATCAACTGATAACAAGACAGGTCACTTCCTCATCTCATTTTAATTTCAATTCAAGTTGGGAAAAATTCCTATTTTTATACACTGAATTATTACTGAGAAACTTTTTAGTTTCCTAAACTTCAATTATTTCAAAAACTAATATCTATTGTATGTTGACCTATAGGTAACTAGTGCTCAATTGAATGAGAAAAGTGATGAAGAACTTGATGACACTGAAGAAGAAGAAAAAGAAGATGCTGAAAATGCTGAAGATGAAGAACAAGAAGATGTTGAAGAAGAAGATGCTGAAGAAGAAGAACAAGAAGTACAAGAACAAGAACAACAAAAACAAGATGCTGAAAATACTGAAGAAGAAGAAGAAGATTCTGAAGAAGATGATGAAGAAGAAGAAGATGGTCAATATGCTGAAGAGTGCCACCAAGAACAAAAGCCAGCAAATGAAGACTTTAATGACTTCTGCAACATTATACTCAATGATGCACCTGAGGGAAAAGAACAAATTCATCAACAAACACTTGAGAAACTTCAAACTGAGAACAACAATTTGTAACTAGACAACACAGTGAAGACCATCTACATAAATAAACTTGAAGAGGATAGCAGGCTACTCACAGCACAAATACAACAATTGAAAGATGAAAATTCTCGATTGCATAACCAATTGGTTAAAAAAGAGGTCCATGAGATAACCCAAGAAGTTTGTGCCGTAAAACATTCTGGGACAGATGCAAAGAATGAAGGTCATACAATAAATGATGAAAATTCTCAGGTGCTGCAAAAAGAGGTCCATGAAAATTCTGAAGTGGTGGACAAAGAGCTCCATCAGAAAGAGGTCCATGAAAATTCTGAAGTTGTGGACAAAGAGCTCCATCAGAAAGAGGTCCATGAGATAACGCAGCAACCTTTTGCAACAAAACATTGTAAGACAAATACAAATGTGAAAGATTGTCAAAATTCTCAGTTGGAGAATCAGTTACTGGAGGAAGAAGTCCATGACTTAACCCAACAAGTTTGTGCAATAAAAGCCGATGATCTGACAGAATCAAGACAAACAAATCTACAGAATTCCATGATTAAAAATATCAAAGCTAAAGCAAGGAAGACTACTGAGGTGTCAGATTATGAGTATAGAGGCAAGAAAGTTAAAGTTGAGAAAGAGAAGGAACAAAAAGATGAGACAATTTCAAACAAGTATGCTGTGGCTCAATTGCTACCTCTTGAAGATAAATATAAACTACAAATTCTTTGGAAAGAAAAGCAAACAGAATTAAGGTATAATCTTACATAAATCTTTCAATTTTTCATGTAGTACAAATATATGAAATGAAACTGAGAAATAGCTCTGTTTTCTAAAAATATTCTGACTTAATTATTAACACATTTTTTATTGTTTTGTAGTGCTTGTATATGGTTTGGCGCAAGATATGAAAATTGTGTGTTTATTAATGATATCAAGAACTTAGTAAAAGGGACAGACATATCCAGCTGTGTACGTATAATATTTGTAATATTTTAACATTGAAAAACTTCTCATTAATTTGTTAACATCACTTTTGTGTTTCAATTTGATAGACAATTGATGCATATGCTGAGGTTCTTCAAAGAGAACCACAAGCACAGAATTCTGGTGATGGAGCAGAGCACAATGGCAAGTCTTTCATACTGTCAAGTCTATATTGAGTAAGGAATCAATGTGCATGTGTCAATTCTATACTTTATCTTCTGTTCAATTTTGGTTTCAAAGTAGATTTTTTGTGTTTGTCATCATTCTTGTGAATGTTCTCAAACTTTGATTTTGGTATCATTGCTGGGAATATACTCAAATTTCAAAACAATTTGAGTGACAAATCGTAGTTAATAATGTTTTGTTGGCTTTTCATCGACATGAATATTGAGTTCGTACCATTACTGTGAATATTCACATATTTTTTGTAAAAGATAGCCAATGTTGAAGAAGAAAACTTCAGAACAAAGGAAAAAGCTTTTGAAAAATACTTTGCAAGAATCCCTCCCATATCGATACATCCATATCCCCATCCACAATTTCAATCATTGGACATTACTTGTTATCGACAAACACTTGGGGACTTGGAAACATTTTAACTCTTTGAGACAAAAAAAGGAAAGGACAAGCACTACAACGTTGCAAATCAACTGGTAAGAATAATTTCAGATTAGCATTACAATAATCAGATGTAAATCATTACATACTTTATGTTGATGTTTTTTACAGCAAAAAATCATCCATCAATACATGAAGGATACACCTTGTCAAGCAGAAAAAGCCTGGAATCCTGATGTCAAGATTGAATCAGTCAAAGACAACCCTCAACAAGAAGCAATGACGTATGTTAATTTATTCTAACTAACAAATTTTAATATCTTTTTCAAAAAAATTTATTTTTTCCCTAACTGTGTCAAAAATGATTTCTGTAGGAATGACTGTGGAATTATTGTTTGCTACATCATAAGACAATACATAAGGCATCAACCAATTCCAAACACATTACCACCAGGCACATCCACAAGTCTCAGAGCAGACATGGTACATGAGTTCCTCAGTGATCCACAAAGATCAATCAAAGTCAAGTAGAGTCAAGATGGCAACCTTCAATGAAAACTTTTTTGATGTGTAACTCAAGGAATTCTTTTTTGTAACACTCTGATACAATGACTAATGTTTTTGTTAATAATTCCAAGCATATTACCTAACAAACATATTACAATTTCTATGATGTGTAATGGAATATTTTGTCATACTCTCAAAGATATATGCACCCGAGCTTTGTTGATGTTTTTGTCCATATTCTCAGTTTCTATTATCCTGTTCCTCACACTACTATATGGCAAAAGCGAAAACAGTATTACATGTGAAAATAGTGGACACAAGACTTTACTGCATCACAATCAGTGCTTTGTTGATGTTTTTGTTTATATTTTTAGTTTTTATGCAGTGTTTTGTTGGCTCACAAAACATTGCATAAAACTAACACTGAGAATACTTTCAAACTTATTGTTGTTTCAATCACTTATTTTCAAACTTAGAAACTTTAAAACTTAGAATATTTTCAGTTTTATATAGATCACTCAATTTTCAAACAACAATATTACCACAACAATTTATTTGCTGCCTCACAATATTATGACAATTTGAAAAACTAAAATTCGAAACAAATAATATTTTCACTTACAGTCCCTTGTTAGTTTAATCAAAACATAAAGTATTGACCACATCTATTTAGAATATTAATTCACATTCATTCAATTCATCACATTTATAACTAGTTCCAATTTATAACAAGAGCCTCACATTATTATCACAAAATCAGTTATTTTGAACTAAAAACTTAAACTGAGAATATGTTCACTTTTTATACAGTATTCACATAATCTGCAAAACAAACATTCAACAGTCAAGTTTATTTCTGAAAGCCAACCAAACAATATCATCACAACAATTTATTTGCTGCCTCACAATATTATGACAATTTGAAAAACTAAAATTCGAAACAAAGAATATTTTCACTTACAAGCCACTATTACTTTAATCAAAACATAAAGCATTGACCACATCTATTTAGAATATTAATTCACACTCATTCAATTCATCACATTTATAACTAGTTCCAATTCATAACAAGAACCTCACACTATTATCACAAAATCAGCTATTTTGAACAAAAAACTTAAACTGAGAATATGTTCACTTTTTATACAGTATTCACATAATCTGCAAAACAAACATTCAATAGTCAAGTTATATTTCCGAAAGCCAACCAAACAATATCATCACAAACAATTTCAAAAATTAAAATCTGAAACTAAGAATATTTTCACTTTCAATTCAATGTCACTTTATTAAAAAACATAGAAGATTATTACTCATCGCTCAACAGCACAAACTGCTACTTCAAGAAATTTATGAATACGAAATTTTTACAATCACAAAGCAACTACAAAAAATCACAAAGCCTCCTTACACGATTTCTTATTGTGATTGCCAACCTTCCCACATCTACTACAAGTAATTTGCCTCACTTTCTCACCATTTGAACGAATCCTCTTCTTATTTGGCCTTTTTGGTTGCTTCTTAGACAAAGGAAGAAGAACAACTTCATTATCACCATCAACATTACAATCTGGTTTCCAAATTGAAGGAACAGGATATATAGGAAAAGAATAGGACTCTCGATATCTTTGAACATAGAAGTATTGATCAACAAATAAACTCAAATCATGTCCACTCTTTTGTATAGCACCAACTGCATGTGCACATAGAAACCCTTTCAACTACCACTCGCCACAAGAACATATTCGTCTACTAATGTCAACTGAAACAGATGGATGTGAATGCACCTCATAAACATCATTTCCAAATGAACTAACAATCCATGGCCTCGAAGTATTAAAACCATCATGCAACTTGGACTCCATTTTAGGGCTAATCAAACCATTCCATTTATTAACAAGTTCCCTCCTCTTAGCAATTTTCCTCATCAACTTAATTCTTACACTATCAATCAACTTTGTGATAGACAAGTGGCATTCCTCTCGTATCCACAAATTGAAAGATTCAGCTACATTTGACCACATCTCTCCAAAGCGTTGCCCTCGAAAGTATGCATTACTCCAACGATCATATGATATGTCATCTAAAAACTTTTCAACTCTTGACCCACCTTCAGTCTTTAACTCAACCAAACATTAATGAAATGTTTCTTCAGTTGGAGCATATGCACATTTCCCAAACAAAGTGATCAGTTTTTCTTTTAATCCATGAAACATACCACGCAAATGATGCCTCAAGTTCATCTTCAAATGATATAAACAATAAGCATGGAAAGCCATTAGGAAAACCTTTTGCAACACTTCAACTAATCCAAGGTTACGATCTGACACAAATGTAATAGTTCGTTCTGGTGAAACAATTCTACTCAAATGCTCCAAAAACCAGCGCCAATTATCTTGATTCTCTGAGCCAACAACTGCAAAACAAACAGGAAAGAACCCTGCATGTACAAAACAGAAAAAATGAAAATATTATATTATTCTTAGGTGGTAACACTCTAACATTCAAAATATCAAATACTAAAATGAATAACTGAAAAAATAAAAAATGCATATACAACAACAATATTATATAAAAACATTCAATCATATTTCTAAACTGAGAACTTTCTCAATTTCAGAACAGAGAAAACAAATTTCTTATGTACCTTGATTTCCATCTTTTCCTGTAGCAGCAAGTAAATTTCCTCTAAATCTTCCCTTCAAAAATGTGCCATCAAGGAATAAGAGAGGTCGATAATAATCAAATCCACTAATGGAACCATGAAAAGAAACAAATAATCTGTTAAACCGTTTAGTATCATCGTCATACTCAAACTCAATGTAACTCCCTGGATTGCAACTCTTGGCAACATCCACATACCATCTTAACTAGTCAAATGACATTAAGTAGTCTCTAAAAATCTCACCTTTTACTTTCTCTACCCCCAACCAAGCTTGATAATAACTAACTCTTAGCCCATACCCCAACTTAAAATCCCGAACAACATGAACTGGACGTGTCAATGGATTATCACGAACACCTTCAACAATCAAATCAGCAACTAAATCAGAACTCATACGAGAATGAGTCATCGTGCGTACTTCAGCACCACATGTGTGGACATTGTTCAACTTCCTTATATAAAAGAACTCATTAGCATTCTCCACTCTACCATGAACATTCCACATATAACTTTTTGTCTCTTTAAACAAACATTGTGCAGTAACACGAACTTTATCATTCTTAACAAATATGAACTCAAATCCACACTCAATAGAAAACTTTGACAATGCATTACAAAATTCAACAATTCCACATTCAAATTTCTGTCCTACATGTGTAATACTAACTGCTCAACCAGCAGACAATAGTACTTTTCCCTTGTGTCGACAAAATGATGATAACGTATCAACCTTTTCTTCAACCTCCAACCTCGAATTCCTTTTGGAAGATGTAGATGCTCTGTTTGACAAGTTCACAGACTTACTGTTATCATGAGACAATGCAATATCACAAACTTCAAGATCCAACATTGACTCTCTTTCTCCATAATCCAATCTGTTGTTGAGATAACCACAATCAATGGTTGAGTCTTTTACTCGCACAACAACATCAATACACTTTGAATCAAAATGCACAACTAATGCCAACAACAAATCTAACTCCTCATTGTTGTCTAACGTACAATTAGGATGTCCAGGCAATGAGTAAGATAGACAAATATTATCAGATTGCAAATTATCCCATTTCAAACATAGCTTCTCAACCAACTGATCATCTGTAACATTTTGATCAATCTTAATTGCAAATGTGTAACCATTATACTTGCACAACAAAAAAATAAGCGCACTTGTACAACCTTCACTCATCTTTCAATCTAAACAAGAAAAAAAGATCGCATCAATCAAAACCAAAACAATACTAAGAACTTTCTCAGTTTTCACAAATACTTCATAACAATAAATATCAAAACAAAAAACTTCATAACAATACAAATACTTCACAAATCACGTTTTCAATTCATAAAATAAATAACCAAACCGAGAAATCATTCAGCAAATCACGTCTTCAATTCGTAAAAACAAAATTATTCAACATATTCTCATAATTAAATTCAATCAAAACTAAAGAAAATTCTAAAAAAACATAATATACAAAATCGAAACAATACATACCTATAAACAGATCGAAAATCAAATATCCAGCAAATCAATTCTTCAATTTACAAATCGAAATCGCACATAACAAACTCCAACAGATTTCAACTTAAAATGCGAACCAAACTAAGAAATCCTTCAAAATTCTTTCCTATTTGAATCAAAATCGAGAAATTAATTACGTATAATAGCGAACCAAAGCAATAAATCCTTCAAGATCGTTCACGATTCGAATCTTCAGCTACTTCCATAACTGATCTGTTAACTGATTCCTTTTTTCTTTCTAGTAAATAACTTGAATGGAATTTTATATACAGTTGTTTATCTTAAAGGGCAAAAATGTCTTTTTACCTCTAAATGAGACTTATTGGTTCAAAAACTTTTTGATAGGACCTAAGCTACCACCAAATATATAGATAGGACTTTTAGGTAATTATCTCTTAATATAATTATCCTCAAACAAAGCAAAATTTCTAACAATTATAAAAATTCCAATTATATTTTTTAAAATTACACTTCTCTCTCATGATAAAATCTTTATCCACAATTTATCTTCACAACCATATTTGTAAAGCATTTTTCTGTAAAAGTGGTATGGAAAAATATGTTTGAGTTTAAATCCGATTTTTTTGTTTTTAATAAAAAAATTTAATAGTTTAATCAAATTTTTGTTTTTACATTTTAGGTTTGCTCAGGGTTATTTTGGAAATTAATTGCTTTAGTTGATTTTTTAATTTTTTACCAAAAGCCGTATAAAAAAATAGAGAGAAGAATTAACTTTTTTTTTTATAATAGCTTTTTAACTATTTTACTATTTTAATTTAGATATACTTATATATATATATATATATATATATTTTGTTGTATTTATTGAATTTTTTTAGATGTCTCACCTCACCCTCCTACAACTTTCATTATTCTTCTTTCTCTCTTAGTTTGTCTATTTAAAAGGGGCTTTGAATCTTCTCTTTCCATTTTGTCTCTCTCTCTCTCTCCTACTATTATCACATAAACATAACCACAACTTAAATTCAACATAGTTTAATTATTTTTATTTTTAAATAATTAAACATTAATTTTAAATTCAAACTAACGATATGACATCACTAAAAAAGTGAAATAAAACGATGAACAGAGAAATGAAGCAAAGGATTCCAACCATATAAGAAAGTTGCCATCAAAATCCAACATTGGTTTTGTAGGGCTTATATATATGAAGCTTGTCAATGAGCTTTTATACCAACAACATAAATCGAAAGTGGCTTATCATCAAAGCAATTTTATGATACATTTGTCCATCTAAAAATAATGCTACATAAGTCATCTGAAAATAGAATTGCCAAATCTTATTTCAAAGATGAACAATAATACAAGAGTAGATTACATAAAAAGACCTCTTCTACATTACAGAACCATAAGCGTCTCACAAAGGAGATCTAAAAATCATTTGAAACCAATGATGGGAGTGCACGAAAGACAGACTCTGCTAGCCAATCGCATGCATCTATTCCGTTCCAGAAATCTTCTTCTTCAACACTTCAATGTCTGTTGCCAATTCTTTTCTACTTTCCTGAGAAATTAATCGTTTTTTTGTCAGCGAATAGTGACTTTCAAGCAAACTAAAATTGATAAGGTACATAAAGTTTCCAATACATGAACTAGCTTACAACCTAACAAATTGTCTTTGTAAATGATACTACCTATAAAAAAAAGAAAAAAGAAAAAAAAAGTGCATATATATATGAGAAAAGAGACTAGACAGAAATGATAGTCTATTAATAAGCTTGAAACATTTGTACATTCTTTATACAAGGGCGGTTATGAAGAATTACAATTATTTTAAGCTTTGTTAATCAATGTCCTTAGGACACTTGTTAACAAGACCCATACTTGTTTAGATTATGAACTGTACCAAAAAAAAGGATTCTACAACATCGCAATCTATATTCACAAAAGAAAGTTAGATTATGAACTGTACCAAAAAAAAGGATTCTACAACATTGCAATCTATATTCACAAAAGAAAGTATGCTCCACTTACGGATAGAAAATTGCTTCAAAATTTACCTTGAACAGAAGATATCGGTAGACAAACCATCCAGTGTATCCAAGCCCTACCAACTCCATGATCTTTGGAAGCTGATATATTTCAAGAGAAACATTAAAGAAACAAAAAATAAAATAGCGATTCAACAAAATAGCCCCAAAAGAAATTGATTATAAATTGTATGAAAAACTATATGAAAACATCAATAACTTTTACTAAAATCAAGCAATATTACTAAATCACATCACCTACCAGAGGGACGGAGTTGATGGCCCCGACGACAATTGAAGATAGCCAAACTGCAACAATAGCCCCACCTCCATAGAGAATGACTGTGGATTTGTTTTCTACTGCATCCCACTATTAAACAACGCACCAAAAGACTCAAATAAATAAATAAAAAAAACGTGAATCGTCAAATTGACTCAAATTAGGAGAGGTTATCAAAGAATCAGTTGAAAGACAAACTGAGAAACAGATCAATGGAAAAGCATAATGCAAAAAAGAAGTTTGATGCCTCCTCTTCTAGGGCATGATGCCTGGTTTGTTCCCTTACCTTTTCCTTTAGATCATTGAATAACTCTCCAGCATCGGCAGGGGATGACTCTTCTGAGGAAGAGGCTTTGACTTGGAGCAAAGAAAACCTCCGGGATTCTGTTTTAAAGAGAAATGAGAAACAAAAGTGTCATCAAGTTAAAAATTCTTGGTCCTCTACCCAAAGCTGGATTTACAATATAAGAAGAGTTTTGAAGCTGCACACGTTGAGCAGTTTGCTATCCGTCCACAAGACACAAATCCAGATGCCTTGAGTCATTTGCTGGAATTAGGTCTACTAAGCACTCGGGAAACTACAAGTAATAGTTATTATCGGACCCCACCATAAATCTGTAAAGCCTACCCAGAGGAGAATTCCACTCAATGGAATGTAAAGCAAACCAAATACTCAAAGCACAGTGAACACTGATTATTATCTGTAGAAAAATATTGCCTTGATATTAATAAATGCAACTAAAATATCGTCTTCTCTCCTCAAAAGATCAGACTTTTAGATGCTCTTTAAGTGAAGCTTCACAGCCCTTTGGTAATCAAAAATGCACAAAAATAAAAGTGAATAGAATCAACTCCAACCCATTCCCAAGTTTGAGTAGGTCCTCAATTCTCTTCATCAACAAATTCAACCATTAATAAGTGGCTGCCCATGACCCAAAGCATATCCAAGAGAGAAGAAATTTTACTAGAAATAAAAATTCCACAATTGAGGTTTTCCTTATATATTGTGCTAAACTGATACTTGAAATTCTTGGTGATATTGAGAATCAATAACATTTTTGTGCTCAAAGTCTCCAAACTCCAATGGATTCTACTGATGTTATGTTTCTCTTCTTTTACTTATTATGAATAAAAGACTTCAGCTATAGAACAAGAAGTCCAAGGATTAATGCACACAAAGGACAATGGCCTTTCAAGGCTCAAGAAGATTAAAAGATTTGGAGAACTTCAGAAAGGAACACCTGAGAGTAGGCATGGAAAGGTATGAATCTATAATCCCAAAAATTCTCTTATTCCGCTCCATTCACACACTCCAAAAGCAGACACAACAAGGCTACTTCCCAGATGCATTAGCTGGCACCTATTTGGACACATGCTATTTAAACATCTCAAAGAAGACATCATACACTGAACTCAGAGTCACCCAATGGAAACTGGCAACAAACAATAGAAAATCCAAAACCAACTAATAATTACCTAGCAATTGGACGGTATTGAGTTCTGCATTAACATTAGCAATATGGCGGCAACCAAGAAGCTAATAGGTTGAACACCAAAGCATACTTTAAAAATTGCAAGCAAGGATTTTCAATTGTCATATTTTAATCTTTTCTTCTTGTTTTCTTCCTGGACAGGACCTTTAATTAATTTCATTTCAAAACACTTAATTCATTACCATCACATCAGTTCAGAGTGCTCTTATTTCTTATTTATTTCCAGTTTTTTTAAGGTTTAGGATTGAGACTAGAAAACCATGTCATCTACTACTTCACCATAAATACATCAACTATGCTCAACGTACAGTTTTCTTTTCATACCGACTACATTTTTTCATACATATATCTTACGTACCCAGAAATATATATATATATATATTTACAAAAGCTATCATAATTTGAAATGTGTCACAACTTTAAATCCACGCCTTACATTCAAATTTCTGACACCCAAATCACACTAAGTTTTAAAATAAAATTAATTCAATAAAAAAATATTTTGAAATTAGTGAAAAGTTTTTTTTTTTTTTTGGCAGCAGAGACACAAGCCAATACCAGCCCATCAAAAAAAAAAAAAAAAACCCCATTAGCCAATTAAAAGAAAGTTCCAATTAATAAACTGAAACGCAGAGCAAAGCAATTAACAATAGAAGTATAACTTTAATTAAGAACAACTTCAACTATGTGTTCGATGAAATGCCTCAAAGAGAAGTAAAGTAGTGCAGTGTACCTGAGAGGTGTTTCAAGGAAGTGGAAAAAGCTGGGATGGACAAGCGAGGCGGTGGAAGGGAGGGTAGAGCGGAGCAGCACGGTGTCTTGGCGGCGGTGGTGGGTAACCGACAGGGCATGAAGACGGCGGTGGCCGCCATAGAAGTGGCTGTTGCCGTTGCCATATGTGAATTAAATTGGATTTTTGTAATCCCTTTTGATTCTTGAACTCAGCCAAGTCTTTTTTTTGGTGGGTTTACAAAGATTTTTTGTGGGTTTTTGTTTGTGTTTTTTGGGTTCCAATTCAATTCAAACCATTCTTTCATTTCTTTGATCTTTTTATCCATAACATTTTTGGACACCGATTCTTCGAGGTGACACGTGGAGGGACTGAGCATTGTGATTGGTTCTTTCTCTATCTTGAAAATCCACGTTTCAAAGGGTTATGTTTCCTGCAAAGAAAAATGCTTTGGAACTTCAATTAATTTTTGAGTTTTAAAGGTAGTTCTAATGAGTTGGCAGTAAGCTTCACTCATAATGATGTGATGTTTTAGTCTTGATTTATTTTTATTTTATTTTTTTGTTCATTGTTATGTTATTAGTGCTCTATTAAAGCACCAAAATTAGTGATCAATCATTATTATTCCTACAAAATGCTATACATTCTAAATTTTCCACCAAACAAATTATCAAATATTTGAAATTTATTTTTTTTGTGAACTTCACATTTATGTGTGACATTTGATCATGTATTTAGTAAAAAATTTAATATCCCTAAAATTACTCATGTTTCCTCTCTGTTGCTTTTGCTGTCTGTCACTCAAATTTTTTTTGTCAAGAATTTGAGAAATATTATACTACAATTTGTTGTCATCAATTTTTTCTTTTTCTTTTTCATAATATCATTTTATTTTTAATTTTACCCTTATTCACCTAAACTTAACTCTAGCTTCTATCTCTACCTCAGACGACACGATACCTCTTTACTGCAACCCTTTTCATTTATCTTTGCTATCCCCGCAATGCATTCCCGGTTGTCCCATCCTCACCCTTGTGGTGTTTTTGATTGGGAGATTTGAGTAGGAATTTGAAAAGGAAAAGAGAAAAGGTGTGTGAAACTATGTGAAATATATACATATTTTATTTACATTTTACCTACCTTTTTCATTTTTCTTTCCAAATCTTTCCTCAAATCCCCCAACCAAACACAACATTAGAGTACTCCGTCTTCCACTTCATTGCACATCATTGCAACCATTCAACCCATTGTTTTTTTTTCTTAGCAATCTCTACTTTTCTCAATCAACATCCCTCTTTTCTCTATCTCAGTCAAACACGAGGGTTAGGATTATGAGGGTGGTAGAGATGAATTGGGATCCTCCCCTTGAGCCCCCTCCTTCATTCCCTCCTTGCAGGGGCCTTCGGGTCCATTTTGAGGCCCAATTTTGATAATTCGAACCATTCATATTTTTAAATTTATTCAGTATATCATACCTGTAAAAAATCAAGTTAATCGAATATCATAAAGTATGTGTTCGGAAAACTGTTTATTAAAAAATAGTTTGTAGTCCCAATTTTTTGAACGCATACTTTCTGATATCCGATCAACTTGATTTTTTACAGGTATAATATACTGAATAAATCTAAAAATATGAACGGTTCGGATTATCAAAACTGGGCCTCAAAGTAGACCCGAAGGCCCCTGCAAGGAGGGAATGAAGGAGGGGGCTCAAGGAGGGGATTTGGACTCGGTAGAGATGGGTTGAGGAAGGCTCGGGAAGGAATGGTGGCAGTAGAAATAGGTTGTAGAGCAATTAACAAGAGGTAAGGGTTGCCAAAATTAGAAATGATAGAGATCATGCACTAATCAAAATTTGTGGGGGCTAAGGTGGAAGTGGAGGTAGGGTTAGGGAGATCAGGATGGTGGTAAAAATGAAATTTTATGTTAGAAAAAAATTAAAATTAAAATTAAAAAAAAAAATGAAGTGAGGTCTAAAAAAACGGTGTTAACTATTTGCAGCATTTTCTAAGAAATCAAAATACTAAACTAAACATAAAAATTAAAAAATAATACATAAACTACTCACAATTGAACACAGTTATCTCAACTATTTCACATAATATTGGTCTACCTTCATCAAATATTAATGAGTCCTAGCAATTATTAAAGACTAAAAAATGTACAAATATTTATAATTTAAATTTACTTTTCATATCTTAATATATTTTAATATATTTTTTACATATTTTTCGACACTAACAATAGTCTTATGAATTGTTTCTAGCATTTTTCAATATTAATTTACAATTTTCACAATATGTTCGATTATACAGCTAGAAGATGTTGACTCCCTTTCTTTCTCTTACACTCACATGCACATGTGCACGCTATCATATTTCAAAGGAAACGATTGGACGATCGTTAGATTCCACCCTTCAACTAGTCACAATTTCTTTTTCTTTTTTCTCTTCAAAAAATTTTTAAAAAAAAATTAGCTGATGAAAATAAAGAGAAACAAATATTTTCATCCAAAAAAAAAAAAAAAAAAAAAAAAGGGAATCATATGAGAAATTAAGAATTTTTTTTTTTCATCATACTAATTTTTTTTAATGTTTAAACTTAAAAAATAAAATTTAAAATAAAAGCAAAGTAGGTGTTTGTATTTCAAATCCAATATTATCCACACTCCTGATTATTTAGCTGTTTTAAAATTGATTTTTTTAATGATTTTTTAGTTTTTTATATATAAAAAAAAATGTGTAAAAAATGATTTGACTTATAGCAACTTTTTTTATTTTTAACTAAAAATCTAAGTTCCCAAACAAAGCGTAAATTAAACCCATTGTGTAATAGATTAAATAGTGGGATTCTTCACTTTAAATGAAGGATATCACATTTTAAATTAGTTCATCTCACTATTTCATTGTTGGAAAAAATGATTTTTGGGGACTTTAATTTAATATTAAAGTGTGGTGACTTTAATTAAATATTAAAATGGGTCCTAATCATTTTTTGTGTTGGGTCCAAGTGAGCCAAAAATCATTGGGTTTTGAATAAGAAATTGCCAAGAAATTGCTTCATGATGTTAGATTCATGAATAGGATTTTAAAAAGTATTTAAATCTTTTTTCTTGGCTAAAGGGTGTGAATCCTTTGGGCATCCATACTTTTCATTTTGTGGAAAGGGGCTATGGATGCTTGGTGTTTTAATGACTAGCCTTAAAGGCTGGAGGCTTTTCCTCTCTCCCCTATACATGTATAAATTGAGACCCTCCTGTCAAGTTTCAATATAGAAATTTTTGCTTCCATTTTACATGTCAGTTTGCTTGATAGTTCCTATTGTGAGAGAGTGCTGCCATTGTTTTGTTCGCTAAGCTAGACAGATAGTGCTTCTGCCGTAGCTGGTTTTGACCGTCGTATCCTGGGAGACAGACGCCGGGTTTCCTCAAGCACTCGACTCGTGAGGCGGCGAAATCTGTTTTAAGGAAACTGCTTCCGTACAGGTTTCGGTTTTGTCTCTTTACCTTTTATTGTTTTTAGTTGCAATTATCAGCATATGTTCTTGGTATATAATTTGTTTTTTTCATAAATCTATTTATTTAATTTCACAATTTTGAACAACATTTATTTCATAATAACTTATGTTTTGTTCATCCGCATGCGTTAACATAATAATTTCATTATAACCAAATCACTAGATTCTTTTGCGTTTTAGACTTTTCAGTCCAAATATGAAATATAATAATGATATCACGGTTCCTTTCGATCCAATATCTAGATTATATATTGTGAATCTTCTTTCAATAATTCAACCTGTTTATTTAATAGAACTCTTCATATACATCATCCAAGTAAAAAATTATATCAATTCAATAATCAAAATATATTCAATTTATTATATTTATCTCAAGATGATCTATTTTAAAAATAGAAATACATTTATTTATTTATTTTTTAGATACAAAACTGGACCAGCCCAATTCCACTCTTGGGCCTAACCTTGTTAAAGGCCCAGAGTTGTGAGTGGAAAGTTTAGACGAGTTGACCGAGTAATACGAAGGTGTTTGGGTTCAACCACGTGCAATGAAAACAGTCCACGTGTCAGAGAAAATGGTGGCCGGCCAGATAATAATCCACTGTCCCAACTGCTACATTCACACTAGTCTGACAACACTCATAAATAAAAATATATTTTTTGAGTGTTTATTTATTTTATTTGAATGTCTAAAACAAAACAAAAAAACTATTACCAGTAGTTAGGTCCATTTGAAATCATTAGCATTGAAGCCTATAAATCAATTTTTTTTGGGAAAAGTCTATCAATCAATTGAAGTTGTTAAATACATCCAAAAATATATAGATCATAAGGGTTTTAATGCATAAAGAGAAATATTTGGTGGGTGTGTTTAGGAGCTGTCTTGATTGATTAGGATTGTAAAATTAATCAAGTTGTTTGAATTTGAATTTGGCTCACATCCAATTTGTTGAAAATTTGTTTGGAATTTGATTCATAATGTAAATAAGTTAAATTAGAATACATTTTAAAGATTTGTTAAGTTTTAAAATCAAATATAAACAATTTACTAGTCAAATCGACTCAGTTATATGCACTATAGAAAATTAAATTATTGGAGCTTATTTCAATTAAAACTCATTTGAGATTGTCTCAAAAAAAAAAAAAAAGTCAAATTTAAACACAATTTAAAATTTATTAAAATTTCAAATCAAACAAAAACAACTTATCACTCGACTTAACTCATTTACAACACTACCCTTATCAATATGAGTTCTGGTAACACATATCCATAATATAAGAAAAACAAATGAATGAGAAGATTTTGAAACCCTTTTAGAACACTTTTTATGATTCTCATAAATGTTGTAAGCCTTTTACCTCGTTACAAAATCCTTATTAATCCAATTTCAATACACACTAGCATCTCAAAACTACCTATTAGCATTTGTCATTAAACATCTCTATTCAAATTAGAAAAAATAAATTAAATTAAATTAATACAAAAAATCTGATCTCAAAATTAAACACAACCCTCTCACATGACACATAATTAATTTTAGTACACAAAATCTGATCATAGAATTGAACACAACACTCTCACATGAGATAGAATTAGATTATGTGCAGAAACGTTTAAGACCACAAAATGTTCCAAACATAGAATGCACATCTATGCAAACATATGCCTCATAGTTGTACATTTTGTGTTTGAAATTTTTTGTGTCCCTAGCATAATCTGATTTTATCCACGTACAAAAAGAATAATATAAAAAATAGAAAATAAAAAGTGTTCAAATTATTTTTTAAAAATGTGCAATATAGGCAACCACGTGGAGTAAGAAACTACTTTGTCCCAATTAAACAACAAATACCATGATTTTTTAGTGAAGAGAGTGTACAGCTCATTTGTCTAAAATTAAGCACCTTCCGTCCTCTCCGGCCAGATTTATCTTACCCTAAACCTCGTTGGCATCGTCTGTCATGGCCAACCCCCCCTCCCTCACTCTTCTCTCTCTCCTCTCTCTCTCTCCTAACTAACCCATTTCACAAGAAACAATTAACAATGTACAAACAACATAAAACCAACAGAAAAAGAGACCCTTTTTCTTCTTGGTTCCACTCCTATGCTCCCCACCCTCTCTTCATTAAAAAAAATCCACCAATTCTTTGCTCTCTTTTGCATCAATCACTACCCATCAATCATCAATCATCACTACCCTTTTGCCACACCACTCACAACCCTCTTAAACTTCACTCAATTTAATCCACCAAGGCCACACCAATAATCCAATTTAAGTACTTTTCTTGAATGATTCCTAGCTGTGATTGTGCTGTTGATGATATGATATAACCCACCACCCAATTCATAATTTTCATGAACCCATTTTGCATTTGTATGCAAATCTTGATTCAACAACAGAAAAAGCAATTTTTTGGATCAGGATTTTCATGAAAGGTGCAAGAGGTTGTTGGGTGAATGTTGATGGGGTCCAAGACAATTTGGCACATCATCTGTTTGATGTTTTGCCTATCTCAACCATATCAATCCCCATTTGTTCAAGGCATGATCATGAACATGAACAACAATGGCTATGACCCTGTTTTATTAGATGATTTTGTTGCTGATTATGCATCCAATAAAGTTTTGAGGCCTCGCACAGGTATTCTCTACAATATCTCTCTCCCTGCTAATTTTACCGGTATGGAAGTCTCATTTGTTCGTGTCAGGGCTCGGAATTTCTATTTGAATGGAGCCAATTTCAGCTCCTTCCATTTCCCACCAAGGATATTGCCAATGCCGTTTATGAGGAGATTTTATTTGATCTATCAAAACTTTGGCAATTGGTCATCTTATTACTATAATGTGCCAAACTATACACTGATCACTCCTGTTGTTGGATTCATGATTTACAACGCCATAAATTCAACCACGAGAAGAAATGCAACACTTAGTTTTTACACCGAGAATGACCCCATTTTGGTCCATTTTCCTCGGGTTTCTTTGCCTAAAGATCCGAATGTGACAGTGGAATCACAATGCGTTAGGTTTTTTCCAAATGGGTCCGTTGAATTTAGCAATACGACCATGTCAAATGGATGTATTGCGCAAGGTGAAGGCCATTTTTCCATTGTCATACCATCACTGCCCGTGCCTTCTTCGCCGTCTAAGAAGAAAGATAGGCTTTGGAAATGGTGGGTGATAGGATTTGGGGTAGGTATTGTTGGGTTGGTTTTGGCAACTTTGATGATGGTTTTGATGTATAAATTTGCGAAGAGGAAGAAAATCAAACACATGGAGAGACAATCTGAAAGAAGCGAGGCTTTGGATACAACTTGGGTTGGGAGGAGTAAAATGCCTTCAGCAACAGGGATTAGAACACAACCAGTTATTGAGAATGACTATGTTCCTTGACTCTCTTCATTCCCATTTTGTGTTTTTAATACATTTTTTGTTCAATTCATTCTTTACAATTGAATATACCTTTGTGTTTTGAATTTCAGATTGGTTATTGGAAAACTGTTTGGAACTTGTGAAATTTCTTTGATCATTGAGCATTAGTTATAACCCTTTGATAGTTGCCATATTTCATCATGGTTCATGCATGAATGTCTTTGATTTTATATACTCCACATGGTTTTTGTTTGAAATCTCTATTGAGTTTGTGTGCACACATGCATGCATTTTGTTAGGGTTGTAGAGCCTGATTAGTATTGTACACTTACCCATGTTGATGCCGGGGTTTGCAAGGGGACAACAATTTGTACTAAAGGTATTAGTGTAATTTATGGATATAAACTCTAGCCTATATTTAGACGTCTTCATGACAATTGCATTGTAAATTTTCTCTATAGTGGAATGGGTGTGAACCGTGGACATAGGTAATCCTACCGAACCACATAAATCTATGTGTCGTGTTTTCTTTTTTGTGATTGTTTCTTCTTGCTATCGTTTGTGTGTGTGGCTTATTTCCCAACAAATTTGTGTGACTTTATGATCAGCCGACCAAGGTAGGTTAGGTCTGCTCTAAGCATATCCTCTAACCATTCTTATTGGTCCGAGAACATCATGTCAATAGGCTGATTGGGATCTTATGTTTGTAATATCCACCAAATACAAAATGTGGAAGACAAGATTGAATTTGCTGCCTCTCAATTTTATTAGTCTTATTGAACTGTGAGAAGGTTTTTTAACCATTGAAAAGAGGATCAACTCATAGAAAAAGAAGTTGGCCTGTTCAACAAAAGCGGCGAGTCAATGAGATATTTGAGGGATTGTTCTCTCTCTCTCTCTCTCTAGGTAAGAACCAATCTGTAGCTCCTGTGGCATGCTGGCATTAATTATATGAGTCACAGGATCTTTTGTCTCTTTATTTTAATGCATTCTGAATTACATTATGTGAAAACCTCGCATGAATTGCGAGGTGCGATCTTAATGGTGCATTGGAATTAAGGGACAAATGATCTTTGATTCACAAGGAAAATATTGCTTCACTCCACGTGATCTTTTTTTTTTTTTCCCCCTTTCTTTTGTGTGTTTTGGCCTTGGCCAAAGACTGGCCAAAGATTCTTTGTATCCAAATTCCTCTGTTTCCATATCCCAATGCACTTTCAATTATTAGATTGTATGAAAATTTTAATACTGTGTTTGGTTGAGGAATTTGGGAAGAGATTTGAAAAGGGAAAGGGCAAAAGTGTGTGAAACTATGTGAAATATAGGCATGTTATATTCACATTTCACATTTCACATTTCTTTTCCATTTCCCTTTCTAGATCTCTCCCTAAATCCCCAAACCAAACACAGCATAAATCACGTGGCACAATAAAATATTGGAAGTATATGGAATCGAAAATGTCTCGTAGCTCGAAAGGGTCGAGCTCGAAACGGCTCGAAAATGGAAGAAGAGGGGAGAAGAGAGGGAAGAGGAGGAGAGAGGAGAGGGCTCGTCGCCGTGGGTCGTCGCCGATCGTCGCAGCAGACCGTCGCCTCGCCTAGCCCCGGTCGTCTGCCCAGTCCCGCCGACGTCGCAGCACCACCGTCATCTACCCAGCCTCCCCTCCTCCTCCAACCGGTTTTTATGGCCCCCTCCCCTCCCTCCTCCTCCTCCTCTTCCTCCTCCTCTTCCTCCCTTCTCTTCTTCTCCTTTCTTCTTCTTCTTCTTCTTCTTCTTCTTCTTCTTCTTCTTCTTCTTCTTCGTTCTGTAACAAAACCAAGAAAGAAAGAAAGAAAAAAAAAAAAAAATTCGACACCAAAACGACGTCGTTTTGGTGTCAAGCCGCAAAAAAAAAAAAATCGACACCAAAACGACGTCGTTTTGGTATCGAGCTACGATTTCGAGCCGCGGTTTCGAGCTACGTAGCATGGTCGATATGGAATAGAGGGATTTAGAGACAAAGCCCTTTAGCGTCTTGACTTTTTATTGTTGCAAGATAAGTTCAACCAAAAAAAATGCATAGGCCTAGTTGGGGTTACACTTTATTTTTTGGGTTGAGTTTGTGTTAGGGCCTATGTTGGGCAACCTAGAGGTTTGTCACCCTAATCATGTGCAACTAGAAGTGCAAACGAATCACGTGTTGTATGAATAATTAGAGTTTGATTTGTTTAAAGTTTGTTTTAAATAAATAAGCTCAGGACAAATTTTTTAAGTTTGTTTATCAATCGAACCAAGCTTAAGTAAACCTAAAATAGATTCTTAAACACAATTATGTATATATTAATATTTATTTTTAATAATATATCAAATATATGTTCATTATGGAAAAATAATAATAATAAAATAAGAAGGAAGTTGGGCAAACTTGGGAGACTCCATTGTTGCAGAAATAATTTCAACTTTAGATGGTGATTTATTAGCTTTTAAATTTTTGAGGCAACTTGCTTCATCCTATTGTAGTGCAATTTTTTCCCAATTTGTTTGTCATAGTTTACCCACAATTGCTGGCTTGTAAGTCACGAGAAAATATGCACAAAACCTAGATGTATAACCAATCGATGAAAACTTTAAGGGTTTCTCTTTAGTAACCAAAGCTACAAATTCTATGTTTTTGCCAAAATAGCATTTTCAAAGTTAAATTTTGGTATACTTAGCAATATTTTTTGGCAATTCTGTTTGAATGGTGCAAATGTCATTTTAACCATTATATGATTTATGATGGTGTGCTCAGTTCTAAATTTCGACTTTGGCAAGCAAATAACTAAGAATTTCAGCATCTAAAGCATATCGAACTTTGCACCCCCCTGCTCACCCACAAATAAATTGCTTAACATGAGATGTATATACAATTTTATCACACACGATCATCGCAGTAAAAGGAAATGGCTAAGGAATGTATTGATTAGAAAGATCCAAGAGTAACTATTTTGTTGCAGAAAAAAATAAAATAAAAAGTAAGCCCAGCTTAGATTTTTATCACAAAAAATAAATTCTATTGGATTTGATTGCATCGATCTTTTTTTTGAACACGAAGTGGAGGATGCAACCAAATTTTGGACATTTTAATGAAGGGAGAGGGAAGGAACATTGCGAACCCGTACTTGTTTGTAGGTTTCTTCTCCCTACAGCAGCATTTCTCTGCACAAAGCGCTTCCGAAGTGATTCTTCTTCTGCCAGGTCTTACCGGCATTTCAGCATCATTGCCGATGATGCTCTTCCTAACAAATAGTGAAATGAAGAATCCTTCTTTGTCCTCATCCGGATCAAACCGAAGCAAATGTTCAGCTTTAAAAAAAAAAAAAAAAAAAAAAAAACACCCAATTTAGTCCTCAGGCTTCAGCTATTGCTTGGAAGTTGTTTGAATAGGGCATGCTTTCATAACCATTGAAGAGGGGAAATTAGAAGTTCGAACATAAAAGATGGTAATACTTTAGCTGTTCTAAAAACATAATCAGAGGTATGTATGTCAATCTTTGAAGAGCAAAAATCAGTATTCTCAGGACTGCACTTACATCCTTCCAGAACTGGGAGACCACGGCGAGGCCACTTGGGAAACGGAGTTGCCAATTGAAAACCGAGAGACTTAGCAAGCGGTAGAATGGCCTTGATAACATCTTCATTCTCAATTTGGTGTATGGAGCATGTGCTGTAAACAACTCTCTCAACTGCTGGAACTGAGAAATCAAATATGTAAATTAGTAATAATGCTTGAGGCCCCAAAAACATCACTCCTAAATTTACTCAAATTGACAAGACAACGGTTGGGAAGTCCAGAAAAAAACTCAAACAAGGAAACTTACATGCAAAACCCAAGTAAACATATCAATACTCGAGAATTTTTTAATGAAGAATTATTGACATATATTCACACACTCCATAACCCAGGGAAGATATAGCAGGAAGAATGTCAAATTATGCTCGTTTAAAACTTACAAGATAATGCATGTGCCAGAGCCTTTTTCTGGAAAGCTTGCAGTTTTCTCAGCCGATCAATGTTAGCAACATCAGCATTTCCTACATAATTGTGTTTTGACAAAAGAGATCAATCAATCGTACAAAACATCGATGTACACATTTTCTTTAAAAAATTTAACAAATCAATACCTTTTTTTTTACCAATTCACTATTTTTTTCTTACAGCCTCAGAAGAACATCTGGAGATGGAATTTGACATTCAATTACTGTCATGATGAGAGGAAGATGAAAATCTTTGGTATTTTTCCTACTTTTGTGTACATTGTACAGCTTAAGTTGCATTAATTTATTACCGTTAGTCTATGAAGCACGGGCACCTCTCTGGATGCAACGTATGGGTGTCCCACACGTGTTGGACACGGACAAGCGATGGACACGTGTCGGACAACCTATCTTATGTGTCTGAATTTTTATTTTTATTTTTTTCCAGTAGGACACTTTGTGGACACGCTCAAACACCTGAGGGACACTGCACAGAGAGATAGAGAGAGAGAGAAAGGAGGGGAGAAGAAGTCGCTCACCTGTAAACCCTAGTCAAAGCTTTTGAAGGCCTTTATTGAAGCAATCACAGGTGGATTTCTCTCTCTCTCTCTCTCTTCTTCTCAGCCTCTTCGTTCTTCTCCCCTTCTTCTGTTCTCTCTCTCTCTCTCCCTCTCTTTATTTTTTTCCTCCTTTTATGAGGTCAGACATTGGATAAGTGAAAAAAAAAAAAAAAATTGCAACCCCTCTATTTTTCAATATTCATCTTTGGCCCTCATTTAGAGCAAATTAATTTTATTTGAAGAAAAAATAAATTTTTTGAAATTGCTGAATTTATTTTATTGGGTAAAGTGCTAAAATTGATTAATAGATGATGGCTGGCTGTATATATATCTATGTTACCTAAATCGTGGATCGTTCCAGTACACGGAACGGGAACTAGAACGTGGTACGCCACATGCTCTAAAATGTGGTACGATATGAGTAGGCTTATATATATCACACTTAAGAATTTAAGGTACTTCTTAAATAATTTTCTTTTAGCAATTAAGTATCCAATAAAATTTTTTCTTCTTCTTTCATGTAGCAAATCATTTATATGAAAATTATGACCCATTTTTAATTTTTTGTCTGGTCAAAACTTAACTCGCCTTAGATTTTAGTTCATATATTTGATTTTTTTTTCTCTCCTAAATTAACATTTAAGGAAATATATTGGGAAAGCGTTTGGGGATCGCTTCAGATCACTAAATTTACCATTTTAGAACGAAAGTGTGTCATGTTTTGGAATGCGTGTACCAATACGTAATCCGTTATTGTATTAGCGTTTTCGAGTAACATAGATATATATATTTAAAATATTTTTTAATGTTATTTTGTATTTTTATTACTTCGCAATTTTTTTTTAAATTTTATAAAATTTCATAAATAAATAAAATTATATGTTTTGACCGTGTCCCCAATTTTTTCAAAATTTGCATGTCCATGTCCATGTCCATGTCGTGTCACGTGTCCGTATCCGTGCTTCTTAGCTGTCAGTTATCTTGCTTGATTATTCAAATAAACCATTTTGATAAATAGTTTAACAAATTGCACGGAGTGAAGGATAACAACAATGATTATGTCAAGGCAGGGGAAAAAGAACAAGAAGAAAGGACACAGGCTAGCATAAAAGCAGTTCCTAGCCCCCCAACACGGAAAAGAAAATGTATATCCTAATCTGAAAGATTCTATTAAAACATATATTTAATGAAGGCTAAAGGAATAACTTGGATTGTAGTTACTTTCAGTAATATATATATTGTAGAAATTTATCACTTCCTTCAGCTCAGTGCATGTTGGCTCTGATAACTCAGCCACCTTCTCCGGTTGAAGCGATCTCAAGTAATCCAGCAAATCATTCTTTTCCTCTCCAACAAACTGTTGCATTTGAAGAGCTGCAGTTTTCCTCTTGACTTCATGCAGCTCCTTTTTTACAGAAGACAAACGAGAATGCAAATTTGGAGAAAGGGTTGCAAGTAGACCATATAAGTAGGGAGAGCGAAGCAAGTACAAACAACAATGGGAGATGCTAAGGAAATGCAAGCATGAAGACGAGACAAGCATTCTCAAAAAAAATAAGATGCTAAAATTACCTGCACCATGTGAAGGGAGCAGGTGATCTAATCTAACAGCAGCAGTGCCAGATCCAGAGCATGAAGGATCTAAGAGAATAGCACGAACCTGCAAAAATAAGATAAGAATTCAGATACCAATGCAATCTGATACATGTGGTTGAGGAGAAGGATCACACCACTAAAACAGAAGCATCAGACCCACCCACTCCATCTCTACTTCAGAAACTCAACCCAACCAAGTCAACAAGCCTTAACCTCAAAATTACATGGTGCAACCTAGATGGATCCTAATAGGGATCGGGAAGCCATTGGGTATATATTTAATTATTTATTTTGATAGTATTCTATCTTTATTTATATTGAGTTTTATTGTTTTATTGGGACTTCTATTAAGATTTTGTTTCTTTATTGGATTTTTTTAAATTTTGGTTTGCCTATACATATGGCTCCATGTAATGGTTGTAGGAGACTATGATTTTGAATATTGGATATTGAGATACTAATTTGGGATTGTGATTTTCCGGTTTCTTCCTTTTCTCTGTCATTTTCCTCATTCTTGTTCTTGGTGCTACATCAGATCCATTATCTCCACTCAGCTCTATTCAAACCCATTTCTAATTAGAAACCAAGATGAAAGTGAAGTAAATAAAGTTTCACTTTTCGGTTTTAAGAAAGAAAGGATGGCATATTAAGAACCCTGATTGGGAGTTGATCCATTTGATATCTTTTTTTTTTCCCACACAAATCTCATGGTCACAGATAGGTGACAGGCAGAAGGAACAATCATTGACATGACAAATTCCACAACAATTTGAGAACTTGAGATGCTGTCCTGCATCACAATAAATTTTTTTTTTTTTTAATAAATTCCTCCATCACAATAATATCACCATTAGTTAGCGAGGTTCTCAAATCTCCGATCCATTTTTTCCCCCCCAATTTCCTACAACATTCCGGAGTACATAACCATCTATCATTATTATATCAAACTGCTCCTCTGTTTTTCATTTTTGGGTCTTCTATTGCACTAAAACCCAAAAATGTGGGTTTTTAAGACTTCCATTTCACATACAATTTTTGTATAGAACATGATAAGGGGAATACAGTCATGATAATCCTGGGTCGTCTACTGAGAATTGCCCCAAGTTTATTATTGGGATTTTAAAATGCCCACCACAGTAATGAAAATGCAGCCGACATTACCTTTGAGTATGAAGGATCTTTTGGGTTCAAGTTCAAGAAGTCTTCATGTAGAACGTCCACATCTAAAAGTCAGGTTAAGTTCACTGATGTCTACCCATACAAATTGATAAAGACAAATTAGAAGAAGTAAATTATCTGCCGAAAAATGCTTCAAAAGGAGTCAGAGATTATATAGAAAGCAGACAAGTAAAATACTTTATTATGGTTATGTACCAGCATGGTTGGGATTGGAGTGCATTTCAATGCACACAAAAACACACACACACACAAATGACAGCATTTACTAGATCAGATAGCTACTAAAATCTGAAAGGATACTAACAGCACCAGCCAATTTGACAGTGTCATTCAAACGTTGAATCCTTTCCTGGTTAAGTTCACAAGCTATAATTTTACCCTTTCCTCTCATAAGAGCAGCAAGGTGTACAGTTTTGTTCCCTGGTGCTGCGCATGCATCCAGAACCTTCACCACAACATCAGTAATCAAGGGTTAAGCCAATGCAAAGAACGAAAAACATAAACAATCGGCATAGATCACTCAGCCCCCGCTAATACAAATATAAAATGTGCAAAACTCACCTCCCATCCTGGTTCAGGCTGAAGAGCTACAGCAGTCATGGAACTTGCCTTACCCTAAGGAAAGCAAATGTCATTGATAAATATTAAGACGAAGAAGAAAAAATGAGAAACGACAAACACAGATAAGACACCTTAGAAGTTTCAGTTTATCTTTTGTCATTGGATCCCAACTTATTTTATTCAAATTTGGAATGTGTTTCATGTGTCTCTAAGAGAGAGACACGTGTGTCTTCCAAGTGTTTGAAGTGTGTCCAAGAATTAAAACTTTTTAAAATAATTTAAACTTTTCTGACACATGTCGATAACTGTCTGACATGGACATATGCCGGCTTCTCAGAAGTGTCCGTGCTTCTTGGGTTCCACATAAGCTTAAACTCCATAGTAAAGAATCTGGACCACATCAAGGGGATTTAAACCTGGAAAGTAAAATGAACATTAAAAAGATTCGTACTTGCATAAAGACACTTCCATTTCTAACCAATGGATGATTGTGCAAGTCGACAGCATGAGGGAGTAGCAACAAATCAGGAACCATGTCATCCTTGTGAACCTATTCAATGCATGAAATTGTACAATCAGAAACCAAAACAAACCACAGAAGACAATTCATTCAGAAAAGAGAAGCATGAATACTAAATTAAGTATGGTACAAGAAACATGTTGCAGCAAAATAATTGTGTTAGAATAAGGAAAGCATTCCCGGTCATTAACTTTAGGGCCCCAGGATCAGTCAAAGTGCCCGGACATCCAATTATAAAAAATAAAAAAAGGATAAGGAAAACATTACTGTTACAAGATTTTTATAGAAAATCCTCGACCAAAATAATGTGGCAGAGGCAGCCTTCTAATTAAATGCCATCTTGGTGGGTTCTTTATTTAAAATGATAGGTCTAAGTTGTTTTTTCCATATTCAATTTCTGTTTGTACATCATTACTCCTAGAATAATTATGAAAACTTGACATAATATCATCTCTTCAACTAAAACAAGAAGCTGCAACACCCAGTGGCATAAAACTTGACTTACTCAAGTTGACATCACTTCCTAAGTTCCTACAACAGGTTCTTTCTCTTTTTTCTGTACAAGTGTTAAATGGCATAAAAGCTAGCAAGTTCAGATCAATTTCCTGACAGACAACAGTAAACTGGTCACTTAGGGTTAAACAAACATTGCAATAAGGGAAGGGAATAAGATTCAGGAGGGATTCTAGTCTTTTCTTTTTTTTCTTTTTTTTTTTTTATAACCCAGAAAAAGAAGAATTTCATTGCAATATAAAACAGGACCAGACGGCCTCCAAGTTTAGTGGACAAAGGGGTACAAGCCAAAAGGAAACACCTACAATCAAGACCCTTCAATGTCCAACATAAGAGCATGTTTGCAGCGCAAAGAGCAGTCCCATTACAAACACGTCGCACCCAAAAAAAAAAAAAAAGCATATTTGACAAAAGAGGTTTGAGTCGAAGATAGTTCCCAATGAATACTTCAATGTCAGAAAAGAAGTCTTCTTCCCATTTAAACAATCCACAATGACATGAATGCAAGAACAGAGGGGAACATAAAGAGCACCATAAAAACAGAACCATGTTACCACATATTTGGCAGAAATTAACGTGTTTTGTTTCCCCAATTCATGCAAGGCTGACTCCAAATCGAACTTCAGCGTATTTACACGAACATAACGAGGTTTTGAAATATCTGCAATAAAAATTAGCAACCCACATTCAGATAATATTTGTAAAACAGCAAAATATCTCAGTGGCGTCACAGGGCCTGACACTAATTAAATTGAATATAATGATTAAATAAGAAACTAACTTGATGTGAGTTCTATAATTTCTGAGGAATTCACATCAAATCATATATGAGAACAAAGATGATTTAACACACAAGCTATCATGTTCTCTTTTCTTTTATCTTTTTTTCTTTAAACAATCAGCACGCTTCTACAGATTATAAGATTTCTTTTGGTTTTTTTTTATACTTTTGGTCTTAGAGAACATCTATTAAGGCAGATATGATTGCTAAAAAACACTACTGCATATGAGGGATTTCAGATGTTTAAAATTAAAACCAGAATACAAACCGGAAATTTGCTGAAGAGCCATCAAGTCTTTGATGTTCTTCACACCCTTCCTCACTAAATGCTGAGCTAGACCTGACTGAAGAGCATCTTTCCGGAGCAAGAGAAACTTTTCTGCATCACCAACTAATGAGGCTGCCTATGAAAAAGGTTTCAGGTCAAAAGATTACTAAAAAGAGATCAACCTAAATGAAGAAAGTATTTATGCACTCCCTGACAATTAATATTTACTAATTTAATGTACCAGAACTTATTTTTACAGAGTTTAATCTTCCCCCTTTTTTAAAAAATTACGTACAAACTATTAAAAGGGACTGCAATAATAAGCAATTTACAATAACTAAGACTCAACATACATAAGAGAAAGAAAAAAAAAAACTGCAAAGCTTAAAGGCCCAAAGTTTTGCAAATAAGAGTTGCAGCCTTACGATACATGCAAAACAGCATAACCTGTATAACTTTTTCTTTTTCTTTTTCTTTTTAAATAACCTTTACACTTTAATAATAAAAGAAATGAGCAATTTGTCATTGGCACATCAACCAAAGAACTGTTTTACAAGGAAAATAACAATAATAAATAACTTTTTAAAAGGTGTAGTTTTACTTCAAACTTCACCCCAAAGGCATGCATGCATCGCCATAGGATATACACTAGTTTGTATTCTTCATTAATCAACCATTTTCTGTCACAGAGGGTATAGTTTCCTGTTCTATTTCCTCATTAACCACCTTTCACCCATTGCTTAACGCAAAGCATATTTGATCAGATTACAAAACCAGTTGGCACATGCCAGTGGATTATTAAATCGGGATTAGTTAACGAATACCCTAAGGGCAATTGGTTAACAAAGTTTAAAATGATTATATATTCTTTATGAGAATACATTATTTATGGCACACACGTACTCTCATAAAGAATGTACAACTATTTTAAGCTTATTAACAAATGCTCTACGGCACTCATCGGCACTCATTAGCAAAATATTCTTAAATAATGGGTTTTGTTGTCCAACAAGGAAATAAATAACGAAACATCTGAAAGTCAAAACTTTACTCAACAGAAAAATAAACAACCTGGCCAAAAAGAATATCGTATGTGATTATGTACATCAATTCCCCTTGCCTCTGCAAACATAACAGTATGCTGTAGTTATTAAACTGTAATTAAGTGGAAGACCATGGTAAGCAAAGTAAAGAATTCATAACTAACATTTTACATATCTATACGCAAATCGATATCAAGTAAATTGGTGCTATAAAACTAAAAAATAAGAAAATAATAAACACTCCCAAGTTTTATTCTCTTTGAATGTCTATGACCGAAGAATTCAATAGAATCTCCTTTGTTGTTATCTTCAGATATCTATAAGCAGCTTTGTCTTTCCAATGGAGAACAATGATGCTAGCTGTGTTCCTCTGCTCTCCCCATCCACGGGGAACATCAAATTCACTTCGACTTTCATAGCTGCTGTCTACGTAATCCAGGTCAATTTGGAAGCAAGGAACTTTTAGATGTTAGAAGTAATACTATTTTTGTTGTTTCCTGACCAAAAGGAAATGATTATGTTGTTAAGCCAAAATCCTTGCTTTTACGAAAGGCTAGGATTTTGAGTTGCGTTTTTTAAAGTTTTCTCATGGAGGATGTCTCTCTAGTGGCTATTAAGATCTAGATTGGCCAGCTTTCGCTCTTCATGGTATGGTCATTTGTTGCATAAGTTGAGGAGTTCTTCTAACGTGATTAGCAAAAAGCGCTGTTACATCCAAGCCATTTATAGGGGACTTTAACACCTGTTACTTTGCTTACGAGGCTTGAATGGGCTTCTTTGTTTAGGGAACTTGTTTGCCCTGCTTTCCTTCTTTTACTTAAAAGGACGAATCATCCTTCCACACACACCTCTCTTTCCTTGGCATAAGTTCCACCAGCTATCACAGTATGTGAGCCTACATTGATGTCATTAAAACACCAGACAACCAACATTAATCTAGAAACAAATTACAAAATTTTGACAAAAGAAATAAAGAAAGAAATAAAGAAAAAGATGGAGTGGTATAATAACAAATAAGGGGAGGTACGTCTCTTAATGATTCATAGCAGAGGAAAAAGAAAGCAATGCAAGGCTATGATTTAAGAAATATATAATCCTCAATCTGACACACAAAAAATAGATTTCAAGGGAACTTCTATACCTTCCACTTGCCATTCAGTATACTAGCAGAATCCAAAATATCCTTGATTATTGGTAGATCTGAAAACAAAAAATAAAACACAAAAATATGCTCAATCACCAAGTTTCAACAATTTTTTTTCAAGGGGCAAAAAAAAAAGGCCTTTCATAGGAGTAAAAATTCATTGCAACGGTAATACCATGTCATCATTGACACATCGCATCACCATCTATCACATATGATGGTGAACCCACTATCTAAATGGAACCACCCTATCCAATGCATCCCACTAACATATGCATAGTGGGATAGAATGCACTTATATGGTAGGCTATGATTGGATGGTGATATCATGTCATTGCAATAAATTTTTCCTCCTTGCATAGAGGACAAGGTGTTTAGTTGTCCACTACTCTCTCCACTTTCACCAATGTTTTAGATTTTCTCCAAATAAGTAGTTTTGCCTAGCAGTTACGCCAAGGATTAAAAAGTAAAATCAACCAACAAAAATGCAGTGTTATGTTGTCCACTTTCACCCATGATCTCACTGAGAAATTTCAATTGCACATCATCTCCATCAAACTAGTTTAAATCTTGTTATATTTTAACTTAAAAAATTACTTTTTCTATTTTGGCTATACGCTTTCTAAAATATACTCCCCAACAAACTCTCTATTCTTTCTCTATTTAAATATTATTTTTATTCATTTTAACAGATACTATTTTAGAATTATTTTATTAACTCAACACAATTAATTCAAAATACTAAAAGTAATATTATTTTAAGGGCAAATTACACTGGTATTCCATATATTTTGACCTTTGTACCATTTTAGTCCCTGTAATTTCAATTGACTTGATTTTGACCTTGAATTTTTTACTGTCTCAAACTGGTCCAATTGATTTCAATTGTTAACATCTTTTTTTATGAAAAGTGCGCACATAAGCGGCATGTGCCATTCTTTTAGAAGTAAAATTATAAACTTGATCAATTCAATAACTTAACCTCAACCAACTCAATGTTTATTTTTCGTCAAACCCCCGCATAACATTACCATTTAGACTAAATTGACACGAGTCAAAATTGAGTCAATTGAAAGTGTAAAAACTAAAATGACACAAGAAACAAACTGCAATGACTAGCGGTATAATTTGCCCTTCTTTTAATGTTTGACTAGCCAAAACTACTAGCTACCTTTGTTGAGCCAAAACCACTAACACTAGAATGGCCAACTTCATAGCTAGTTTGAAGGAGGAGATGAAATTTGGCGATTTACTCACTATTTTACTTTTTAAACATAAAAATAAAAATTGCTAGTTTGACGGAGATGCTCAGTGTGCATAGGTCTTCTAATACATATATATATTTGGACATATATGTATAGTATCTAGCAAATACAAATCCATAATAGCCTCATTTGAGAAGTAACCCTTTTAAGATAAACTAACAATAAGTCCTAATAATCAGGCTTAATTCTCATTAAATCTTATTGAAAATAAGTCAAACTAAAATTGTCACTAAAAATAACTCCGCCGGGGTTGTTAACAACTCCGCCGGTCCCAAGCCCGGGTTAAGGAGGAGGGTTGTGTGTTAGGTAGCCGACAGCCAACACTTTGAATCGTTTAAATGCTAGGTCGTTCCCCTCAAGTGACGCGTTGCGCCTACCTCTAGGTGTTTCGAAAAGTGAGCAAGAGGCGCCGCATCGACGCCTGGGTGCAGTGAAAAATGGGCAAAGGTTTCCGCACTTTTCTAGACGAGCACGGGTAAAGAAGCTAGTCCAAGACTATAGGTTTAGGGTAGCCACTTGGAACATAGGAACCTTAATTGGAAAGATGATGGAATTGGTAGATGTTATGATTAGGAGGAGAGTTAGTATTGCTTGCATATAAGAAACTAAGTGGACGGGAGAGAAAGCTAGGGAAATTGAGGATACGGTTTTAAACTATATTATAGTGGTAAGGATAGACGCAGGAATGGGGTAGGAATCATAATTGCCAAGGGTCTTGTGGAAAGTGTAGTGGCGGTCACTAAAAAATGAGATAGGATTATGCTAGTTAAACTAGTTATTGGAGGGAATATAGTAAACATTATTAGCGCATACGCCCCTCAAGTAGGGTTAGATGATCAGACTAAGAAGGATTTTTGAGAGCAAATGGATGAGATCTTACAGGAGATACCTGTAGGAGAGAACCTGGTTATAGGTGGAGATTTTAATGGCCATGTGGGCATAGATAAACTAGGTTATGAAAGGGTGCATGGTGGATATGGTTTTGGTGACAGAAATGAGGCTGGAGAGAGTATCTTAGATTTTGCGTTGGCTTCTGACCTGATGGTGGCCAACACTATGTATAAGAAGAGGGAGGAGCATTTGATAACCTTTAAGAGTGGATTAGTTAAAGAGTCAAATAGATTACTTCTTAGTGAGAAAAGTGGACTGCCTAAAATGCAATGATTGTAAGGTGATTCCTGGAGAGAGTCTGGTCTCTCAACATAGGATTTTGGTACTAGATTTATGTTTTAGAGGGCAATACCAAGCTAAGAAGGATGGTGGGCGTCGTAGAACGAGATGGTGGGACCTAAAAGGGGATAAACTAGAAACATTTAAGAATCGAATGGATAAGGAAGGTACTATGCTAACACTATGTGGAACTCGATGGCCAATTGCATGAGGAGAATCTCAAGGGAAGTGCTTGGAGAGTCGAAAAGAACGGGACCCAGCTCTAGGAAAACTTGGTGGTGGAGGGAAGAGGTTCAAGCGGTAGTTAAGGCAAAAAAAGAGTGCTTTAAAAAGTGACAGAATGATATAACTGAGAAAAACCTAAAGAGCTATAGATTGGCTAATAAGGAGGTCAAGGAAGTAGTGAGAGAGACCAAGTTAAAAGTATATGATGGCCTATACACTAGACTCGATAGTAAGGAGGGAGAAAAGAGGGTATACAAACTTGCTAAGATATGGGAGAGGAAAACAAGAGATTTTAATCAAGTAAAGTACATCAAGCGTGAGGATTCTAAGGCATTGGTGAAGGATGATGAGATTAAGGAAAGATGGAAGAATTATTTTGAGGAACTATTAAATGAGGAACATGGAGGTACGACAATAAGGGAAGAAATAGCCAGTAATACGATAAACCAAGACTATAGGTTCTATCGCAGGATTAGGAACTTTGAAGTGAAAATTGCACTTAAGAAGATGAAATCAAATAAGGCTTTAGGACCCGATGATATCCCTATTGAAGCTTGGAAGTGTTTGGGTAAAAAGGGAGCTAGTTGGTTGACTGGGTTGTTTAGCAAAATTTTGTTGACTAAAGAACATGCCAGATGAGTGGAGGAAGAGTATTTTAGTGCCAATCTATAAGAATAAAGGTGATGTCCAGAATTGTAACAACTATAGAGAAATCAAGCTAATATGTCATATAATGAAAGTGTGGGAGAGGGTGATGGAACGCCGATTGCGAGATATAATGGAGGTGTCAGAGAATCAATCTGGGTTTATGACTAGGAGGTCAACAATAAAAGCGATCTAACTTTTGAAGAGAGTAACAGAAAAGTATAAAGAAAAGAAAAGAGACATTCATATGGTGTTTATCGACCTTGAGAAAGCATATGACAGAATAACCCGGAATATAATATGGTGGGTGTTAGAGAAGAAAGGGTGACAAAAGGTTACATTGGCGTGATTAGGGACATGTATGAAGGGTGGTGACCACTATTAAATCGCCAACTGGAGAGACAAATGAATTTCCTATCACTGTAGGGTTACACCAAGGATCTACCTTAAGTCCTTATCTTTTTGCTTTAGTTATGGACGAGTTGACGATAAATATTCAGGATGACGTGCCATGGTTCATGCTTTTTGCAGACAATATTGTGCTAGTGGATGAGACTAGAGAAGGAGTTAACACAAAGTTAGAGATTTGGAAAAAAACTCTTGAATCTAAAGGATTCCGGATAAGCAGAACTAAGACAGAATACATGGAGTGTAAATTTAGTAACAGTAACAATGAAAGCAGAGGAGAAGTGAAAATTGAGAATCAAGAATTGCGTAAGAGTGAACATTTTCGTTATTTAGGGTCGATTATCACAACAGCGGGAGAGATTGATGCAGATGTAGCCCATAGGATTAAGGCGGGATGGTGTAAGTGGAGAAGTGCGTCTGGGGTATTGTGCGATAAACGAATACCCACTAGACTAAAAGGTAAGTTTTATAGAACGGCTATTAGACCAGCTATGTTGTATGGACGGAGTGTTGGGCAACCAAGAAACAACATGTAGATAAGATGAGTGTGGCTGAGATGAGGATGCTAAGGTGGATGTGTGGTAAGACTAGACAAGACAAGATTCGGAATGAGTGTATTCGGAAATTGGTAGGAGTAGCACCGATAGAAGATAAGTTGAAAGAGAATCGTTTGAGATGGTTTGGTCACATTCAACGGAGACCAACAGATGCAGTAGTAAAGAGATGCGATGCTGTAACGGTAAATGGAAGTGTTAGGGGACGGGGTAGATCTAGATTAATGTCGACTAGCGTTTTAAATAGAGATATGAATCTACTTAATTTGACTAATGAAATGGACTTTGATAGGACCGCGTGGAGAAGAATGATTCATGTAACCGACCCCATGTGATGGGACTTAAGGCTTGGTTTGGTTTGGTTTGGTTTATTTTGCATGCTGCCAAAAATTGAAAATTAGTGATTTTTTTGTCACCATTTTTTTAAATTGTCACTAAAACTTACAATTAGTGATTTTTTTTTTATTTTTTTAAAACTGTCGCTAAAACTTATAATTAGTGTTGTTGTGACAAATTTTTGAACTGTCCCTGAAAATTAACATTTTCTTAAAAAAACTATTAATTCTCACATGAGTTATTAGATATTAAGTCCACCCATACACGAAACTCCCCCATTTTATTGGGTTTATGAATCCATTCCAAATAGCAATTCTTACTATAAAACAATAAAAACCAAAAAACAGAGCAAAATGTATAAAAAAAAAAAAAGCACGAAGATAAAAGATCAAATCATGAGTTGCGAAGAACTTACGCTTTAGGGTTTGACAAACTAGAGCGAAAGTGCCTTTCTTGTTCCTGATTGAAGGGCTATAAACAAGCGATTTAATGGAGCCAACGGCTCTGCGATTGGAATCTCCATTCAGAACGGCCCGAAGAACCTTCGCCGCCTCTCTCCGGGCGAAATACGCCGACCTCTCGGCGGTGGTCGGCCGCCGGAGCTCTGGCTTCGCCGCCGTTGATGTGGTGATCGAACGCTTCTTCGGACGCACCATGGCGCACTTTAGAAACTGTTGAGAGGACAAACAAAACCCAAATGGGGTTTATGTGTGTAAAGGGTGGCATTAGGATTGGGTTTTGACCCGCTGGCCCGTTTAGTAATACAACTGGACTTGGGGGGTTGGGTCGGGATGATATGTTAGGCCTGTTAAAGATGGGTTTTTTAATCGAAAACTCAATACGGGTTGTTTGTTATCTTTATTTTTTTACGTTTTTTTTTTTTATAAAAAATAAAAAAAATTAATTAAAAGGAATCTCATTACTAAGACCAGTCCTTGAGTAACCTCTATGGGGGGTGTTTGGCAAGTTGAATATAAGCCTCCTTTTTTTTTTTTTTTGGCTAAAATTTATTAAAAAAAATAAAATAGACTAAAATAACTAATAAGATAAATGTCACATTAAATTGATAATTATTTTATTTTTTCTCTTATAAATATCGTATCTAACTACAAAAAAAAATTCAATTGTCTTTTCAAATACAAAAAATTTAACCTACTAAAATAGTCAAAATTAAAATAATCTATTAAAATAATAACTTTTCAAACACTCACTATATAATACGGGATAAGCAAAATGATTTAGAATTCTAAATTGTAAGCTCCAGAGGAGCTCTAAACTAATTTTTTTTTTTTATTATTTTTTGGTTGACGAGCTCCGAATCACTTTTCTATGGGTTAATTACCCACAAATCATGTTATAAGGACTTATACATCATTAAGTTCTATAAGTATCTCACAAGTGTTAAGTGATTTTTTTATGATAATTTTCTAAATATGTCTCTAAAAAATTGACAATTAGCTTTCATTTGAGGGTTTTTAGTTTTTTGACTTTTTGTCTATTTTAATCCAAGACTACGTTTGTGATGGATTTTTTAATTTTTTTAACTCTTGTGAGGAAAAAATAAAATTATTATAATTTTGATGTGACATTTTGTTTTATTGACTTTTTAGTTTGTTTTGTCTTTTTGTGATTAAAATAGTAAAAAAAGTCCATGCCAAACATAGCCTAATGATTTTTTTGCGACAAATTTTTTAACTATCTACTAAAAAATTAAAAATAAATTTTGTGATAACAAGTAAAAGTGAACACCACATTTTGATACACCAAAAAATTAAAAAGACTTATTGATGCACCGATCTTTTTAATATGATTTTTCAATCAATTCTCCACATAATATTTAAACTTGGTCGAGTGTAGTCTTAATTTCATTGAACTAATAACGTCAAATTTTTTGTTACAATTTTAAATTGAATGTGATATGTTTATTTATTACTTTTTAATATTTTTATATGTAAAAAAATAAGAATAAAAAAAATTATTAGTAAGATTTAAATTCTAATCCTCATTGTAAAATTAATAAGTTTTAATCAATAACTAACTGATTGTTATTTTTTTGTTTACTGTTATAAAATATATATTATCATATTTCTTATTATATAAAAAAATTAAATTATATAAAAAAAAATTGATTTTGATCTAATTACATAAGTTTAACGATCAATTACCAGTTTGATTAATAATTTATTTTAAAACTAAAATAATCCAATCTGTAAATATCACTAAAACCAGCCATAGATGTTCACAAATTTTGGGTTCTTTTTATGTGTTTTTTTTTTTATCTCAGCTTGTCACTAAAACTTACAATTAGTGACTTTTTCTGTGATAAATTTTTCAAATTGTTTCTAAAAGTTAAAAATTAGTAACTTTTTTGTGATTATTTTTTAAATTGTCGCTAAAACTTATAATTAATGATATTTTTTGTAATAAAATTTTTAAATTATCACTAAAAATTAAAAATTAGTAACGTTTTCTAAGATGTTTTAATGAAAAATATCATTAATTATCATAAGACTTATTGGATAATAAGTCTATTTATTGACCTACATGTAAGTCTCCCTATAAATTATGTGTATGGGAGACGAGAAAAAAAAGATGCGTGTAAGGAGAAAATGCGAATTTAAGGATGAAGATAACGTTTGAATATTAAGGAGTATAAAGAGAAAAAATTAAAATTAATTTGTTTTTATTTTTTGTATGAGTGTAATGAGAAGGTGTGTGTAACAAGACCATTCAGTTGTGTAAATAGTTACTCCCAATCTTGAATTTATTTTTGAAAAAGTTATTTTCATAACTAGAATTCACACTACCAAAATGTTAATGGAAAAACTTATTTCAAAGATAATTTAACCATTAGGCCATTTAGGTAAATAATTCTCCCAATTTTGTCTTATGTGGAGGTTCTCTTTATCTCTTTTAAGATCTATTTTGTATTCTGATATATTTTATTAGACAAATTATTGTCGGATGTACAATATATCAAATTTTATACTTTTTCATAAAAAAAATAAAAACCATTAGACCACTTAGGCACTCGCTAAATTCCACAAGAAATTTTCAAATCTTTTTTATCATTGAATGTCCCAACTTTTCAAAAATTTAACTAAATAAAATCTCATTTTAATATTTAACCAAAGACCTCTAAAAATTTTGAATGGTCATATACTAAAATATTATTTCAAAAAAAAAAAAAAATAGTACTCAATCCAGATTACGATAGTCAAAGGTCGACAACATATTCGTAGTTTCAATATCCTAAAATATTATTTTTAAAAAAATAGTATTTAATCAAGATTAAAAATAGTACTCAATCAAGATTGTGATAGTCAAAGGTGGACAACATTTTCGTAGTTTCAATATACTAAAATATTATTAAAAAAAAAATAGTATTTAATCAAGATTAAAAATAGTACTCAATCAAGATTGTGATAGTCAAAGGTGGACAACATTTTCGTAGTTTCAATATACTAAAATATTATTAAAAAAAAAATAGTATTTAATCAAGATTAAAAATAGTACTCAATCAAGATTGTGATAGTCAAAGGTGGACAACATTTTCGTAGTTTCAATATACTAAAATATTATTAAAAAAAAAATAGTATTTAATCAAGATTAAAAATAGTACTCAATCAAGATTGTGATAGTCAAAGGTGGACAACATTTTCGTAGTTTCAATATACTAAAATATTATTAAAAAAAAAATAGTATTTAATCAAGATTAAAAATAGTACTCAATCAAGATTGTGATAGTCAAAGGTGGACAACATTTTCGTAGTTTCAATATACTAAAATATTATTAAAAAAAAAATAGTATTTAATCAAGATTAAAAATAGTACTCAATCAAGATTGTGATAGTCAAAGGTGGACAACATTTTCGTAGTTTCAATATACTAAAATATTATTAAAAAAAAAATAGTATTTAATCAAGATTAAAAATAGTACTCAATCAAGATTGTGATAGTCAAAGGTGGACAACATTTTCGTAGTTTCAATATACTAAAATATTATTAAAAAAAAAATAGTATTTAATCAAGATTAAAAATAGTACTCAATCAAGATTGTGATAGTCAAAGGTGGACAACATTTTCGTAGTTTCAATATACTAAAATATTATTAAAAAAAAAATAGTATTTAATCAAGATTAAAAATAGTACTCAATCAAGATTGTGATAGTCAAAGGTGGACAACATTTTCGTAGTTTCAATATACTAAAATATTATTAAAAAAAAAATAGTATTTAATCAAGATTGGAATGTCAGAACTCAACTATATTTTGTATCATGCACGAGCATTTTGTAGTGCTCAGTCCAGATTACGATAGTCAAAGGTGGACAACATTTTCGTAGTTTCAATATACTAAAATATTATTAAAAAAAAAAGAAAAAAAAAGTAGTATTTTATCAAGATTGGGATGTCAGAACTCAACTATATTTTGTATCATGCACGAGCATTTTGTTTTTGGAAAGCAAAAAATTACATAAAATATTAAAAAAATTCAGTAAAATAAAAAAAATATGAAAAATAAGAGTATCGAATTTTTGAAAACTGTTTTTAAAAAATGAAAAACCAAGTAAATAGATTATCATTTCTTATTCATGTCAAAAATATATAAATATTTGTGGTAATTTCAAAAAGTAATTATAAATTAATGATAAATTTTATAATATTAATAATTAAAATTTTAAAATTTTTAATAAATTTATAATTATTTTTTTGAAAGTTTCATTCCACCGTAATTTCTTTCTTTCTTTCTTTCAGCTGGGGCCCACCCGGGTACGAGCCGATTCGCGAGGCGACACGTCAGTGCCTGGACCACATCTTACCCCGACATCAGCAAAAGCTGGCGTGGACCACTTCTTTTCGAGTAGTACTATGCAAAATATGTTTAATCCGTTAAAATACCGACTCGCATTCATTTGTATCATTTTTTTTTTTCATTACTGTTTAAATTTTAAAATTATTTTTAAAATTGTTGCGCTTTACTATAATTAATATATATATATTTTTTAATTTATAATAAATTATCAAAATAAAAATAAATGTAAAAAAAAATTAATATGTAAAATTTATATTAAATTAATAATTATATACATATATAAAATTAATTTGTGTTATATATATAAAAAATATAATACAAAATTAATATTATACATTATGTAAAGACTTTTATTAATTAAAATATTTTTAATCCCCAATTCATTTAAAATTATTCAAATCATAATTTGTAATTTGTTAATCTATTAATTCACTATTTAATTTATAATTTTATTATTAAACTGTCGGAACCGCATCTCGGACCTTCCAAATTTCGAGTACGTGTTTTAAATGCCCAACAATGATTTAGACCATTAAAAAATATATTATTAATAGCATTAATGTATTGGGAATGGTAAAAAAAAAAAAAAAAAAAAAAAAAAAAAAAAACAAGACATAGAAAATGGGTGAAGCCGACTGCCACATCAATAATGTTCCTTCTAGTATTCCATTTCTAGTGTTCCCAAGCATTTTTTCTTTAAATGCCTTTCTGGCCTAGTTGGCGAATGACGCGGCTATTTTCTGACAGTTAGATTAATCAGTTCTGGCCGTTGGATTAAATTCAGATTCAAAAGTGGGTCCCAGAAGATTGATCTGTGCAAATTTTTTCTTTCTTTTATTATGCATTCTGGCTAACCCTGTGGATACACGTGGTCCTCTGATGACGTGACAGGAAA